TATATTTATGTTAAAAACTATCTTAATATTGTAACTTATATGCTAATGATGAAGGAGTTCTTAAAAATGTCTGTGTTATAAATTGGGCCGTTGAAGACTATCATTGCGCGTGGTTGTCAACGGTGATCAAATAACTCAATCTCGGATGCATTAACTTGGCAATTTATTTCTGTTGTGAAAATGTCATTGAATAAGCTCTTACTCAGCTCATGACGCTTATCAACAATGAGGCCAAATATATGAACACTCAAAGTGTATTTTTTTTATTTTTGCTCATTATTTTTCGTCTGGGTCGAGATTATCATCTCTGCGGTGGACTTCCGCTCTAAGTGCCTCAGCGCCACGCCCAACCACCATCCACGTCCTCATTCGCCTTCTTCGTCCTCACACCCCTCTAGAAAAACCGTCACGAAAAGTACAAATAACTCTTTTCGAGAAGGGTGCTGTTATGACTGATCAATGCTTGATGCTTATAGCACTTCTCTATATTTGCAAGTTTGACACGAGTTTTTAAAATTAAGATTTCACGACTGCGGTGCCCACGAACCGACGCCGACGGCGGTTTAAAAATTTATTTTCGTTTCTTTTAGGAACTTTGCGAGTAGCTCGATGTGTGGACCTTTTCTAGCGACGCAAGATATCTGCTTCAACACATAAAACATGAAAATACAACGTGGACTTCGAAGTAGAAACATAAATAATTTGCTGTCGGGGATCTCGCCTTTCTCGGACCCGCAATTTGATTTCACGTTGTTTACGCTGTTGTTTAATTTTAGGTAGAACAGCAAGGAAACGTACAAAGTTTTAAAACCTACGGCAGCACTATCGTTCTGTTCATGACATGTTCTTTTTTCCGCTATTTTCTCGTTGCCGTCGTGGTTTTTTTAATTATCTTACTTAACAGCTATTATGCTTTCTCATTCGCGAAACAAAAAAAAATTCCCTATTCCTGTTTTAAGCATTAGGATGTACGTAAAACACTTAACTTACTTTAACAATCTTAGCCCACGGACTTGTACTACCGGAATTTTTGTGTCATCAGTATTCTTTGAATTTCACAATCTTTTCATGTGATTTATAATCACTGTATCAAAGCTGGAAGCAAGTAGGACCTGAGTGCCATCTAAGGGCCGACTAATCTTTTATTTAACCGGATTAGAATATAAATCCAGACCCATCGGCACGGCATTTTATATTTAGAGATATGTAAGCGGCAGAAAACAGAAAAATTGAACATTTCATCTTAATAGTTCGCTAGATTTTATACGATAAAGGTTGGATATTTTCTTTGATATTAAACCCAAATAGCGATATTACTACAGAATCTCACCGCAAATGATAAAACTGCATGATGCACGATCATTTATTTGGCGTCTTGTGACATTGAGAAAACATCTTTGCATTTTAGCGTAAAACATCATTTGAACCAATTTTAGGCCGTTCGTTTTAACTTTGAGCAACACGGATACAAATTTATGTTAAGATGGGTTGTGCAAAAATCGAAATCACCAGCCTGAAAGCTGAAAAATTATGCTGGTGCTGAAGGTTTTATGCTCACAGGAATTTTCAGTCGAGGATTTATTCAATTGTGCATTTACAGCTAGCTCCGCCCTCTCGATAATCGTAAGGAGCTTAATTCGATATAGTTTTAAATTGAAACACCTCCAAAAATATTTCGGATTGGTATGAGGTTGTTGCGACTCAAACACATTAATGGCTGAATGATGCTATACTTAGCTAAAACTGCAAGACCGTTGCTTTGATTTGATGTAGGTCCAAGTGTTGCCAAAAGCTTAGCTACGGGTAGAGCTTATGGTTGTCTTAGCAATAAAATACAGAACTATTCTTGAGAGACAACACAGATCTTTCGATGCGGGAACTGATAGTTAGGTACCTTAGGTATAGCAAGTCTGAGACGATTTTTTTTTCCATTCGTAACACCTCAAAGAAATCAAATAACAAATGCAAAACTTAAAAATGTATTTGTCTGCGAAACGCCATTGAAGGCCCCTTGATCAAACGAATGAAAGTTACATTCCAGTCTATGAAAAGGAATCACACAAGTAACTCACTTGGCTGCGATGAAATCCTCTATACCTTTACCACTTCTAGGATACCGTGATTGGAAAATTTCGAGTACACTTTACCTCAAATACTCATTCAATATATTGTAAATTTGGTTCCATAAACCCATTAGAGTTTCCATGATCGTTTCATTTACAATTTGCGGGATATAATCCATAATGGTGCGCGTGATCTTGTCTATCTTTAGAGCTGTAAAAGTGATAGCGATCTTCATCAAATGTAACACGTAAAATGCATGGAGACGACAATATCGCTTATCATAATCCTTGTAAAAAAAATTAGGACAATGACATCCATGTCATACAAAGAAATATAACTCTAATTGGTGTTCTCAAAGGCTTGCGTTCAACCCGCGTCGTTATGTTTTTTTTTGTAGGGTGTAGTCTATGGATTCAATATTGCTTCACCACTTATAATTTCCTGCACTTTGTAAAATTCCATTTTTATCGACCTTCCAGACAACATATATAACTGGAACGTCTTACTTATAAAAAGTTAAACGTGGTTGGTGTTCACTTAAAAACTGATGGTCGAAATATTTGATTTTAGTAAAATATCATTATTGATTTCGTAACAGCCGCCTCGGCGAATACTGTTTTCACACTTCTCCTAATACCCTACTCTCTGATTATCTGACACATTTGTTCTTCTCATTTTCTTTAGCATAGTTTACAGTTATAGCTTATAGCAGCGTCATAAATTGCTGATTCTATTCAAAACGCCAAAGATATTAGCGAACAATTAGGGGGCGGTTTTAAAACTCTTGTATAAACACTTCTGTTTCCCCGCCCATTGTGCTTACAAGTTAAGCTTGCACATGCGGTAATGTTAACTTTCCAAACGCAATAGGCTTTTGCTTCTTAACCATAATATCCGACCTTATGATTCGGGCCAAAGGCATGCTACATATTGCCACGGTTTTAATCGATAGTTTGACAGATCCAATTTGCTTTTTTTGATGACCCGATTTTTGGCGCGTAATTACATATTCCAAAGAGAGGCGCTAAACTTCTAAAACTGCAGATTTTCTCGAAATTCTTGTTCAATAATTATTTGATCTGCGCTTGGACAAGTTGCGGTTTGGCTAATCTTGCTAAGATTTCGCGGGCCAAATTAATGCTAGTTTCTCGGTTGGAAATGTTAATTTTTGAGTTCTACCACAATTCATTATTGTTTTTTTGTTGTCCCAAGAGGATACTTGCAAGTAAGCACAATGGCGCCAACTATTAGCCGTGACCAGAGAGTTTGCGAACGTGACTAAGTCGATGCCCTATTGAAATACATCAAAAAGTTATTTCCTTTGGCTGCAAGGAGGTTGTGTTCTTTAAGCGCTCAGGATCATTAAACGCCTTATAGAAAGCCTCTTTCCTCAATCTTGTCAATTCTCCGGTTTAAACGTTTGGCACAGTGCCGGTAATCAGGTGCGCATGACACCCCCCTGTTTCCAGCCCGATGTCAAACTACGAGCCAATGGCAAATGATCGGCTCACATGACCCGAGCCGAAACGAGCGTCGCAATTGGTCGGAAGCATTTCGTAAGCCAACAACGAGTAGAAGGTTATTTGTGAAGATCTGATTTGCGTTTGCTTCGAAAATCGATTCATGGATGTATGTGGTTTGATTTACCCCTTGGAGCACTCAACCACTGTCTCTAATGGTGAAGCTACCGGACCGATAGCGTAGGATGAAATTCAAAGCATTAATTTGCTTGGTTTGCCTATACTATAGGATATGTTTAGGTAAGTGCGTTCGATGCGTATCTATGCGAATGTGATCTTTCTACCTGATGATATTGATTCGCTTGGCGGACAAAATTTCTATCTTGCTTGTGTCGATTCGCTTTTCATGTGACAAAAAATATTCCTTTAAACAAAGAAACACTCGTAGACCATTACCAGTTGAATTTGGATTCTTTTTTAGAGATCTTTAGTGCTTAAAAACTTGTAATTTACACCCGTAGTTGTCGTCCATTTTGAGCCATTATGATTAGACATTGAAGTAAGTGCGGGGATTGTTAGATGGCTTCACCCACAGCTGCTTTTAGATGGCGATTTCATTTCTTGTCCTCCCCGAATTGATAGTTTAAAGATCTAAACACCAATTTGTATGCATGGGAAAACTGAAGAAGCCGCAAAGGGCGAATCGAAATTCTCCGAGTAACTTAATAATAACAACAACATTGCTCTCATAAATTCATTTGCACGTGGTATCTTAATATATTTTTGGTCGTTGTATGTTCAGGATACCTGCTTAGGATGAAAGAATGCTGCAAGACGAGAGTAAAAGCTCTGTATGAGACATCGTTGAGTATAATTTTCCTAGCGTGAGGGAATTAAACTCGTAGATTTATGTTTCAAGTGTTGGCAGAATACCTGTTCTCCCCACGCGAGATCCGATCGCTCTGAGTTTGGTTTGGTATGCAGCATTTTAGGCAAAGTTTAAATTCATCTTTACCTTAACCCTTGCACTACAATTCGAACTGATTCAAAGGATTGATATACTCTTTAATCAGAGAAGATCAAGAATAAAGTACGCGATGTTACACATTTGATTTAATAACCCGAAGCTAGCTTCTGGCTACGTGCGTCTTGCATGAAAAGTTGTAGTCTTTTATTATCATGTCTATTTACAGAACATTTAGCAAATCCTCGGAGAACATCGGAGATGAATTACTACAGAGTAATGACGCCCGTTGAAAGCGATATGTTTAACTTATATTTCTTCAGGTGTAAACCCTTTGGCCGTTACGTTGAAAATAAAATATTCTCGGACATTTCCTTTCGCTAAACGGAGTTATTAACTCGATTATCCTCGACTGATCTTTAAGAAATTGCTTGTGACGAATCAGGTATTTTACTCTTTAGTTCTAGTTTCGTGCCAGCAACTCTTCTAATCCAATTCTTTATTTTCCACAGCGACTTCTCCAAGGATTTTATACGCAAACCGGAGAGACATCAGAATAGTACGACCAAATCAAAAGAACCAAAATGAAACTATCGTAGTTGTTGGTCTTTTGAATGCTATCGCTGTAGATTTCAGCTACGAAGATGGATACATATTTTGGACGGATGTCAACGATGAGAAAATCAAACGAATTCGTATGACGGAAAGTTCTAACTCAAGAAAAGTTGAAGATGTTATATCTTTGGGTTTGAAAAAGCCCGAAGGATTAGCCGTAGATTGGGTAGGAAAAAAGTTGTATTGGACTAATTGTGGAGATTCTGACTGGGAAACAAACAGAATCGAAGTTGCAAATTTTGATGGATCCTATCGCAAAGTTCTTTTCTGGAAAGACTTGGGTCTTCCAAGGGCGATTGCAGTGGATCCACTCAAGGGGTAAGTTGAAGACTTTGTGTTTTTTTGTTGCACTCAATAGCTGCAGTTTATTTTGTGCTGAGTTTGAGAAAAATCTTCAGCAATTTGTCTACAACGAAGGTTTTGCTTGGCTTTGGGAGAACTTGTTATTTTGGATTTTGATATTTTATAAATAGCTTGCTTTTTTAGAGTTAGTGCTTCTTTTTAAGTTTGACGAGGAAAGACTAATGAACTATGCTCAATTAAAAATACATTAAGCGTTGAACTTCGGCGGGCAAACAGTTATCTATCATTTTTTTTCGTTAGCCTGCTTTTAGCGAACCTTGAATGTCTCTCGAAGCAATCTCTTAAGTGATGAATATGCCACAAAGAATTTGTTGCATGCATCCAGTATTTGAACTCAATACCATTTTCAAAGAAAGCTTGTGAATCTTACTGGAATCTAAGCTTTCTTTGTTATTGTAGCCCCCTGTTGAAATTCACTGAGTAAAGCCTGAGAATGTCATTTTTTAGAGAAAGAATCAATCTGAGAGATCCACTCAGAGAAGATATTTTATTTGTGATTTTTTTTTCTAGCTGAAAGATTCTCTTGTTTGTCAAAAATACAGTAGTTGTGGAATGAGTTAACATTTTGAAATTGTGGACTTAATTAGTACTTTAGTGTTCATTGTCCTCTGAAGCAAGTTTTATTTTTCTCTGTGTTGTTAATGAGGGGCTGGTCTTCTGTAAAAATCCTGAGCATAAGTGAAGGGCTTGGGTTTTTGTTGAAAATCTGTCGATGTGCAATATCTATTCTTGAATAATCTATGGTCTCATATAAAGAGAGCTTTGAAGAAGGCTTTGTTAATGGCCTTGGACAATAGTTCAGCCTAATGTTTCATTTGACCTTTTCTTTAATTGTGGCCCAATGAATGTTTTACTAATTATCCATTGTTTTATGGGATTTTTTAACACTGTGTAATAACATAGTGTAAATTTGGTCTTGTGAATTAGTACAGAGTTGAGGAAATTTTATTGCTGTTCTACATGTCTTTTGATGAATAGTAGTCTTCAGCAGTTTAAGTTAAATTCAAAGGAAGTTTAACACTTGTTTTTCAAGATTTCTTGTGAGGAAATTTAAATTGACAATCTATCTTTGAGTTAAATTATAACCCTTTCTTCACTTTCTATCCTTGCAGTTTGTTAAGGCTTGTTGGTTTAATGTTTATATCTTCTTCACAAAATCTTAGGCTGTTGTGAATGGCTATTTGTGTTACTTTTTTTGTCTTGGTGTGCCTCATTTTAGTGGTGTTTTAAAGTTCCATGTAATATCTTGTTGCCAGTATCACAGAGAGGATTACATTCCTTTTAAAATATTTGTTAAAAATTCAATCACAGCATTTAACGTGGGATACCTTCTTTTAAAGGATCTGTCAACTTTTGAGAATAAATAAATTATGTGAGAAGTGGAGGACATATTTTAGGTATTAAAAAAGGTTGCGTGAACTCTGATCAGAGCAAATAGCTTAATCGAGAGCAAAGCTTGATTAGGCTGTTATCTGATTAAGAGATTTTAAGTCAGGGTATGTTTTTAAATTTTGTTTTTCCTGGGGGATGTTACAATTCTTTTCTCTTAATCCCCTAAAGGAAAATTGACGGTCTGGTAGATTTTCTCTACTTGAGGAAGGAAGAAGGAAATGCTAAGCTCTGCCTTGTTTGTGTGGCCTTGAGTTTAACCTTCCAGACCAATGTGTTATACTTATCCTGTTTCACATCAAGATGATTTCTAATTTCTTCATAGTGTGATGATTTGCAATTTTTTTTTTTTTCCCTTGTGACAGTCTATATTTCAGCAAGTGTAGGTGTTTTACGAAGCTCTACATTCCTTTCTCATTTGCAAAATGTTTCAAAATAATTGTAGTCTTCTTTCAATTAGAGACTGTACTTCTCCTCATGGAAATAAAATTATTGGTTCCTGAACTATGAAAAATTTAAGCTATACTGGTTCTTGATTGATTATTGCTAACATTTTTCCTGTAAAATTAGGTTCCCTTACACATGAGAAAAAACCATTTATTGTACTCAGCATTAATGTTATGTAAGAGTATCTTTTTTTAAGTGTGCATTTAAAGCTAAAGATCTTCGTTATTTCCTATTTTGCGAGTTTACTTTTTCTCCTTTACCATAAGAATAGTAATGTTGTTTATTGTAATTAAAACAAAATGCTGGTCACTTTAAAAGAGATGGTTGTTTCAGTTAAGTTTGAGTTACTTATGGATATTGAAAGATGTTGACTCAGATGTATGCCAAGTAACTTCTCAAACAAATGAACACTGTTACAGAGAATAGGCTTTTGAGTTTATGACCAATGGCTTTTTTAAATTATTGACCATTTCTAAAAAATATGGGCCATTGCTGTATTTGATTGGGCTAGAAGAAAAGAAACATGGGTATTTTGTTAGTGATGTAATTTTTGTTAGCATGCTTTAATTATGCAGTATCTTGCAGTTAACAATGCAATGAAAAAGTTTCATTTATGTGTCACTTAAATCAAACCATGCAGTTTCATCCAGGTGTCACTTAAATCAAACAAACTGGAAAGCTGTTTACTTCAAGTGAAGAGTAATCAGTGCACTATACAGTACTTGTGAAGGTGTTTTTGTCCTTCATCTATTAAAACAATCATGTTTTTTTTTAAGGTAAACTTATGGATGTGCTGACTCAATCCGGGCATTAAATAAATTGCTGGACTTAAAGATTAGAAGTAACAAAACTAGTGATAAAAATTTTGGCTAATGATAAATCACTCAGGTTAAATTATGGATTTTGAATCTTACTCCTTGAATCAACTTAACTTTGACCCTAACATTGCCTTGGGAATTTAACTGGAAAGATCTCTATGGGGGCGGATTTCTGAGAGCCAGCAATATAATTGTCTAGTACACTACTAGACAATTATGGCTGCTGAAAGGTCAAATAAATTCAAAGAACTTCATTTGGGGGCTGAATCCAACATGGTGCACAGCCCTCTTATTCTTTGCTATTAAAGAAGAAAGTGTACTTAAGGCATTTAATACCAAATTGAGAGTAACAAAAACAGATCTCTATAAAGAAAATAAATGATTTCAAATTGAAGGACTCGCTGATTTTTTTACCTCGCCTGAAGTGTAATCACAGTAGATGACGCTTGTTAGAACTACAATGATGTTAAAAGTTTCTAACAAATTGTTTTCTCTCAAATCATAATTCCAGGTTCATGTTTTGGACAGATTGGGGTGAAGAACCCAAGATAGAGAGAGCTGAAATGGATGGCTCTAATCGTTCTGTAATTGTCAGACAAGACATTCATTGGCCCAATGGGCTCACAATAGACTACAGTGCAGAGAAAATTTACTGGACAGATGCAAAATTGTTTTATATAGCTAAAGCTAATTTTGATGGTTCAAACCGGGAGAGAATATTTAAAACTCCAAGTCAATGTATTTTGGCAAATCAAGCTCATCCATTTGCTTTGACATTATATGAAAACAAAATTTATTGGACAGATTGGACTACTAGAGGAATACATTCTGCAAATAAAAACAGTGGGATGCGGTGTCAAATGGTCTGGTCAACTACTTATGTACCCATGGATATACATGCATATGAACCAAAAAAACAGTTGCCAAGGCCAGGTAAGTGGAATTAATAAATGGTTATTGATTGTCTTGCAGTGTTCTTCCCTATTTTAAGCACGACAGATAAGATAAATTCTTTAAATTCTTTAAGAACGCTACAGGATTTTAGGCAGTAATACAAGGTAGTGCTACAGGCAGTAAATTTTATCGGTTACTGCCTTAATAAGGAGAACACTGCATACAAGTTAGTCAGTCACATGATAACAAGTGTGATGTGTTGACTGCTGTGTGTTGAACTCCATTTGTTGATTAGTTAGACTGCTTAGGCTTCATCACATGAAGGGAATGCCCTGATGGTCAATTTGATGATTGCTGCTACAGTGATTCATTGTGGAACTTCTAAAACTGCTTTTATTGAAAACACTCTTCCTGACTGGGTCATCAGTTTTGAACAAGCCTGGAAATTTTTTACACTTTGAAATTGTATTTTCCACTCTCAGATCTGATATGTAGTTTCCCTTACTGTCCACCATGTAATCTTTATCATTTTATGTTTTGGTATTGGAATAACTAATAATCCCCTTATTTATATTTTTCCTTGTTCTTATCATTTATCTGCTTGATATTGTGTCAACATTACAAAGAGAAATTCTGTCTCGGTCACTCTTGAAAGTTAAAAGGTTAGATAGGCATTCCATGAGCTGTGCATAAATCTTCAAGCAAGGTGTACAAATTTCTTTGATTTTATTTCAATAATTGGTTGATATATTTATAACAAGTTATTAGAAAAATGAAGTGAAAGTGGCTGGCTAAAAGATACATTTCTAAATGGGGTAAGTTTCTAAAGAAACTGTGGTGCTGCATTGGTGGGAGGGTATAACAGGCTGACCAAGTGTTATCAACTCAGTTGATCAGTTGATAACACTTAATAACCCAAAAGATACATGTAGCTGTGTTGGGGGGGGGGGGGTGTTTCGGTGAGCCATTGGCTTTTATTGATAGCTCTTGTCATTGTTTTTCTTTAAACCTCTTGTGCAATGATAAAAAGAAATGCTAAATTGTGACCCTGGCTTATTTTTGACAAGTTGTTGACTTATCTTTTAACAGGTCAAAATCCTTGCAATTCTACTCTCAATGGAGGGTGCACCCATCTTTGTCTGTTGAATACACATGGTCGCTCTTGTGCATGCCCAACTGGTGTGAAGCTTTTGTCTGATGGAAGAACATGTGAAAAAGGTATGATTGAGTGTGCAATGTTATGAATAACTGCTAATAGTGTGTGTACTGATTGTATTTGGGCTTTGTTTGAAATGTGACTCCAGTTATGAAATACATTTAAAACATTCTGTATGCTGGATGTGCATAATTAGAATATTATTTGTGGGGTATTTTAAGGGAGAGACACAACTTGTTAAAACAATTGAAAATCTCTGCTGCTGCTACTGAATTATGTCACTGAGTTCGGTGTGTGAATTCAGACTGGTTTGAATCTGTGCAACTGATGGCAGTGACAAATTCTCCATGTCACTTGAGGCAAATTGTGTTTGTGACTTGCCTTAGAGCAACACAAACTCTCTGGGTGCTAAATGTGCCTATACATTCTCTGTAAAATTTTTAATTTTTAACAATGTGTGCCTGGGAGAATCTTAAATGTATCAAGCTAAAAATGTGGGAGAAGGATAGATATGTGCTACATTTTGATTATTCAATACCCACCTTTTTGTAGTCTGGTAAGGAAACAAAAAGCTTGTGCTAATGAGCAGAATCATGTTTGCAAAGATTCCTCTATCACTGAATGTACACTATTTAATAGATGGGTAGGTACATGGCAAAAATCAGTTAAGGCATACTTTCTTGATGTGATTACAGTACTGTTGTTCTCATTAGTATCTTATGTGAAAATGTATAGCCATTGGAATTAAGAACTAGTAGTTGATTTCAAGGTTGACCTGTGAAATGAGATATACTCCAACAACTGTATTTGGTTGTAGTAATATCCAGTAATAAGCTCATTCATAATGTTTGGCTTTTTTATCTTAGGTCCTTTCCATTTTCTATTGCTGGCAAGAAAAGGGGACCTGCGGCGTATATCACTTGATACACCTGATCTCACAGATGTTGTTTTACCAGTGTTGGGAATCAGTCATGCAGTTGCAATCGATTTTGATCCAGTGGATAGATATGTTTACTGGAGTGATGATAAAAAACTTGAGATTAAAAGATGCCGGTTGAATGGAGAAGGTTAGCCAACCTTGAACTTGAATACACTAATTACGTTAACTGATTTTGGCGAATTTATAGTAACTTAACAAAAGTTCTGTCAAGTTTCTTCAACAGTTTTTCTGGTACCATCTATATTGCTGAATGGAAAGAGTAAACTGCACTTCAGTCACCAGAAATTATCCTGCTTGGCATGGGATCCAAAACAGTTCTGTTGAGTACTAACCAACATGAGGGCCAGTCTGGATGTTAATCTTTATTCTGAACTGTTTTCTGTCTTTTTCTTTGTATTTCAGATGTTCAGGTAGTAGTAAGGAGTGAGCTGAAACATCCTGATGGTATTGCTGTTGACTGGGTAGCACGGAACTTGTACTGGACAGACACAGGCACTAATAGAATTGAAGTCAGCAGACTAAACGGCTCTGCTAGGAGAGTTCTTATTGATGAAAATCTTGATGAACCAAGAGCAATAGCATTGGATCCTACTAGAGGGTAAATATATGAGTTTAATTTTGTTATCTACTGAGTGGAAATCTGTACACAAAGTATTGAGTACAACCAGAAGCCAAGAAGGAAGGCTGTACTCAAGATGGAGAGCACAGGTTTTCCCCATAAGGACTGACTGAGGCTGTGGATAACTGATTTTTTTCGCTGATTTTGCTTTTTTGGAATGACAGGGAAAAAATTCTGAACTCTGTTTGGTATTGTGAAAGACAGGATGGGTTAGGAGCCCATGACTGAGCCTTGCTGAGATGCAAGAAAAAAAAAAAAAGATAAAAATAGATTTTAATATAATTTTTATTTATTTCCATACTGAAAGTTGGCAAAGGCATGCAAAGAAATTTAAATTAATTTTTGTTATCAAATGTGTCAGTTAGAAAGGCTGTTATAAGTTTGAAATGTTCTAACATGATCTCACTTAGGTACATGTACTGGACTGATTGGGGAAGACACCCAAAGATTGAGAGAGCAGAGCTTGATGGGAGTCATAGAGTCATCTTAGTGAATTCCTCGGTCGCGTGGCCAAATGGCCTTGCCATTGATTATCTGAAGCAAAAGATTTACTGGGCTGATGCAAGGAATGACAAGATAGAAGTCATGAACTTCGATGGGAGTGCCCGCCGTATTATTTTAGATAAAAAATTGCCTCATGTGTTTGGTTTTACTGTGCTTGGGGATAATCTTTATTGGACGGACTGGCAGAAGAGGTCAATAGAGAGTGTGAACAAAAGAACTGGTGAAGACAGAAGAGTAATCATTGACAGCCTACCTGATCTTATGGGACTAAAAGCTGTAAACCTTAATCTATCCTATGGTAGGAAGCCTTATTTATTTGATACTTAAATTAGTTTTGACTATTCCATGTTTCCTTCTTATTACACTTAAAACACCTTTTTTGGCCTCTAGGTTCCAATGCCTGTCAGCGAAAAAATGGAGGCTGTAGTCATTTGTGTTTATACAAGCCATCAGGACCCAAATGTGAATGCCCAACAGGAATGGAGCTTCTTTCTGACGAGAAGACTTGTATATGTAAGTATTTGGAAGAGATGACTTAGGCTAATTTACTGAGCTTGCCTGGTTACACCTAGAGAGCTAAAATCAGCCAGTCAGCCATTTCTTTCCTTCAAAATTATGGAAATCAACATAAATGTCATATGCTGTTGGCCCTTTAACTCCCAAGATGTACCTGTCTACATGCCACACATTTCCTAATAAATTAATTGCAAGAATTTGTTAGATCAAGATAATATTTCCCCTGCAGCCATCGGCTATCATCGTATATGGATCATGCTTGTTCGGTGACAGTGTTTTAACCCTTTAAATCCCAAGGTCTCATTAGTAATTCTCAGTAGTATCCACCATACAGTTCTTGTGATGCTAGTTTTGAGAATTTGGTATTGGATCAACTAATAATCCTCCAACTGATATTTTTCTTTTTTCTTATCACTTTTCTGCTTGATATTGTATTGATAGCATAAGGAGAAATTCTGTCTTGATCACTTATGGGAGTTAAAGTGTTAACAGGGGAGTGTGTAATTTCATGGTATACTTTTACATCCTAAGTGACATTAAAGGGTAAGAATCAGGCTTGATGTAGTGACTAGTCACATAAAATACACCACTGTGAAATCTATAGTAGTTTTATCCTTTCATCTTTTCATAGTTATTTGGCAATATACATTTATGCATCTATATGCAGGCAGCTTGATGGGGAATTCTTGACTTATGATTGGTATTAAACTTAACAATTGCTTTAACTATAGCAATAACCAAAAAAATATGTATTTCTTTTTTCTTCTATTGCAGTACCAGAAGCTTTTCTTTTGTTTTCAAATGCTGATGATATCAGGAGAATTTCTTTGGAAACCAACAATGGTGTTGTCATTCCATTGGTTGGCATTAAGGAAGCAAACGCTCTTGATTTCAGTGTTCATGACATGCAGATTTATTGGTCAGATTTGACCCTTAAGACTATTAGTCGAGCATTTCTGAATGGTAGCAATGTACAGCATTTGATTGCTGTAGACCTGTCCTACCCTGATGGCTTGGCTGTGGACTGGATTGCCAAGAATCTTTACTGGACAGATTCAAAGCTCCAGAGAATAGAGTTGTCACGACTGGATGGCCGGCATAGGAAAATGCTGATTTGGAAGGATTTGTGGGAACCACGAGAACTGACTCTTGATCCTGTGTCTGGGTAAGTGAACATACTACACTTTTTCAGTCAAGTGAGCCGCAGTGGAAACCAAAATCATTGTGTTGTCATGGGCAACTTGCTCTGTTTCAGTTGGCAATGTGTTGTTTGAATGCTCTTGGCCAGCTTGGAGAAGACCTACCCTTTATCCAAAAGTAGTAAAACAGGGAAGGTTTCCCAAAATAACGCCATATTTAAACAGTCAAACCACAGTGACCAAACTTTCCATTCATTGCACCTAACTGATATTTATAGTATTTTTGCAAGGTACAATAATGTGAAAAGTATTGTGTCCATGGTTTTGAAGGTCTGTGCTTGAAATGTGGCTGTGGCATTTTCCTGGGCCAGGAAATTTACTCTAGAGTATTCTATCTTACAGCCCAACACCAGGAAGTTGTGTAGGTCTTAGGAAGATTTGAGGGAAAGCTGAAGAAATGCTGGAAGAAGTAAAGGGGCAGGGGGGGGGGGAGAGAGAGGGGAGAGAGAGGATGGGAAAGGGATTATAATCTAAAATGGACTTGCATCCCATTCAGAAATGCTAACAGCTCTCTTTCTCTCCCAAGATCTACATGCAAATGCCAATTGTTTACACAGTCTGCAATACATTTCTTAATTTTATATTGAGAATTATATGTTGAATAGAACATGATCCCCAGTTGATAATTTTCTTATTTCTTGTAACTTTTTTTTGCTTGGAAATAGTTGGCTATTATGAAAAAAAGATTCCTTCCTGCTGACTCTAGGGTTTCAAAGTCTTGCAGGTTCATCTCCACTGTGATTATGGGTTAAGTTTTCTATGTAGCTTTTGAAGCAGAACTGGACAACTCAGTATTTTGACTTCATTTTAGTTATACAACAATACAATAATAACCTTTAGTTAATGTGGTCAAATGTTCTTAGCTGATTAGCTACTTTACGGACATGCTACAAAAGTTAACCCTTAACACCCCAATATTTGTATCCACATTCTCCTTACTCCTCTCTCCACATTTCCTTTGGTGCTGACCAGGAGAATTGTTTAACAATCAAAGCTTCTTAGATTGGCGATCATTTCCTTTAATCTTGTGATCTTAATGAATGATTCAGTAGTATTACTGTTAAGAAAAATTAGATGCTTGTCACTTTTTGGTTTTTTAAGGGTTAAAAATTAAATATCTTTGAAATCTTTATCATAGGCATATGTACTGGGCAAACGGTGGATGGTACCCAAAGATAGAGAGAGCAGACCTGGATGGTTCTAACAGACAGACTATCGTCCCAAATGTCACTCGTCCAACTGGGTTGACAATTGATTTTTCTGCGGAAATGATATTTTGGGTTGATACCGAGAACAAGGTGATTGAGTGTGCAAATTTAAATGGTTCAAACAGACAGGTGATTGCATCAGAGCTTCCCAAACCATTTGCTTTGACCCAGTACAAGGATTACATCTATTGGACAGATCAGAAACTCAGCTCAATCTACCGCGCCAACAAAACGAATGGAATGGAGAGGACTCAGATCAAGGGCAACATAGAATTTACTATCATGGATATCTTGGTTTTTCATGGCAGCAGACAGGAAGGTTAGTGCAGCAATAGTCATCTGGCTGATGCTTCACAAAAATTCTGATTGCATGCAACGTGAAAAAGTAAGGTACAACCCATAAATTTTGACCGGAATTACTAACACTTGGGATCGCTTCGGATAAACATATAAAGCTTGCAACTTTTTCCTTGAATTTTCAAAAAGATCGATTTGATTGTTTCAGGGGCACGAGTTTCTACCCTGCCCCGCCATGTCTCTTCAACCCCATGTCAGAGAGAGAAGGTTTAAACCCAGATGAAGTACATGTTGATTGTCCTGTACAGTAATCCTTTACACCCTAACATTGGCATCCAAATTCTCCATACATTTTTCTATACATTTCCTTTGGTGCCGATAAGGAGAATTTTTTTTACCGTTAACGCTCCTTAGGTTGGTGATTATTTCCTTTTTTCTCGTGATCATAGTAATTGTTTCAGCATTGTTACTGTAAGGAGAAATTAGACGCTGGTCAATCTCGGGGTATATAGGGTCAACCTTTTAGAGTGAGGTTCGAGAGCTTCCATATGTGGGATTTGAACTTGTGACGGCAAATGGCAGTTACAGAGGGTGAGAGCTTTTTCTTTCTAAAATAGGAATAACCCTTTATTCCTATCTGTATATTTTCTTAGGTTCCAATCTCTGTGCCTTCAGGAATGGAGGATGTAGTCACCTGTGTCTGGCTAAACCTGGGAAGAGAAAAGAGTGTTCCTGTCCTACACACTATACCTTATCCATGATTGACAATAAAACTTGCTTAGGTTTGTTGATAACAAATAGGTGTTACATTTGACTGGATATAGTTTAGACAAACTTCAAGTCAATGCCAACCAATTTTTTTTAAATGGCAAAATCAGCGACCGCGACATTCTACACATCACCAAGCTTTAAAACCTAGAATTTGTAGACCTTTTCTCCTGATCCATTCGCTCGCGTATTCCGCTGGAAAGAATCGACACTTCCGGCTCAAATTCCTTAACCAACGGGTACGAACGACGGTCAAATGCCCGTGGGTTTTCCCAGGTGAAAGGGGGAGGTTCGAGCTTGGAATTGATCGTAGCTTAAACCATACATTAGCTTTTCAGGAGAATTTACAGTTTTGTGTTTTTTGCGAACTAGCCCTGCCTTGAATTCTCTTTATTGAAGGCAAATTATTCCTTTACCTATTTCTTCCTAGAATGTAGTGTTTTGGAACAATATTATTCACCAGCCGATAATTTTCATATTCCTCATTACCTGTATCTCCCTCATTGCATTAAAATTGTAAGGAGAGTTGATTTTCAGATCTCTGTTAAGAGTCTAAGCGAGATGTAACGATTGTTGCTCAAATTAGCAAATGTCACGTAGTTATCGTTAGGAACCCTAATCAATCGAAATGTTTTTAAGCCGGTTGTTAATTTTTTTTGTTTCTGTTTACAGCCCCCCGTGTTTTCATGCTTTACAGCACCAAAACAGACATTCGACGAATCCTGTTCGATTCATCCGATAACCTTGATGTAGTTTTACCTGTCCGTGGTCTGTCAAATGTTCAGGCCGTTGATTTTGATATTAACAGCCATCGTCTCTTCTGGATCGAAGACTTCCGCATTAAATTTGCATATCAAAACGGCTCCAGTGGGGACAAGGTCATAAACCTTGATCCAGAGGCGTCTCCATATGACTTGGCCATTGACCCGTATGCAAAGCAATTGTTTTGGACGGACTCTGTTACTAACAGTATCAATGTGTACAGTTTAAGAAACAATACCAACCTGGGAGAAGTGTTTAAGAAAGACGGTGTTTCTCCTCGGTCAATTGTGCTCTATCCTGAGAAAGGGTGAGTCTTAATTCCTCAAACGGCATCTTTTATGTTTTATTCCATTCATTTTAGTGCTTGTAGTTCTTTGATAATCAAAGATGTGCTCGTAGGAAAGTCACTTGGTGTTTGAAAGGCTCTTCTCTCAGAAATGTGAGCCAGCTCTTAACCATTCACACCCCTAAAGTCAGTATCCACATTCTCCATGCTGTTCTCTATGCATTTATTTCGTTACTGGTGAGAGAATTCAGTAAACAATCTAAACTTCTTAGTTTGGCGATCATTTCCTCTATTCTCGTGATCGTAATGAATGATTCAGCAGTATTACAGTTTGGAGAAATTAGATGCTGGTCACTCGTAGGGTTAAAGGGTTAAAAGCTGCTATAGACGCAAAATTGCATAGGTCGCCTAAACGAAAAATTTAGTCTCCTTCGGCACCCAGGCGCCAAAAACGTTTTCAAGGTCAGTTATTCTACGAATTGACGCGACACTTGAAAGGCGAAAAGTTAATCTACGCCATAGCAGAGATCGCAGAGCGTAGCCCCATAATTATACAAATTAGTAGTAACCCATCAAGCCGAAATAATTTGGATGTACGACCGTACAAGGTGCTACTTTTAACATGCGTAGTCAACTGCACCGCGGGCACGCCAACGCCACGGCTTTGTCCAGTAGTCCAGTGATCAGTGCACTGGGCTCCGAGTCGGACGACCCGGGTTCTAGTCCTGGCCGGGGCAAGGCGTTGTGCCCTTGAGACGTGCGGGGAAAAAAAATGCGAGCTCCGCTTTTAGGCTTGGCTAAATCTATATATTATTTAATGAAACGATACTGTTTTGTCGCTTGTTCAGGCTTATGTACTTCACCAATGTCAATCCAAAGACCAAGGGTATCATGAAGGTGCCAATGGCTGGGGCAGACAAGGTACAACTTTCTGTTGACAATCTGCTTCTGTTCAGTGCTGACTCTCCGGGAGACTTAGCAGTGGATAAGGAAGGCAAGAAACTTTACTGGACTGACACGGAACTGAAGAAGATTGAATATGGCGACCTGGAAGGTAAGTCACTGAGGAGCATTCTTAAACTGCAGGGCCAAAATGAGCTGACGTTGTTTAGACCGATATGGGCGAGCATCCAAAAGAAAAGTGTGACAGCGCGGTATATTTTGCTTTGTGCAAGGATATGTCATAGCGTAATTGCCAGTCTCGCGCCAATTCTTTTGTCCAGCTAGGTATAAAACGAGCATAAGCGGCCTGCAAGTTGGCTGATTGTTGGCAGTAACTTTGAACAAAACGTTTAAGAAAGTGATGGTGTGGACTTCTCAATTTTTTAGACGATCTATTGAAAGCCGCAGCAGTAATAGTTATGTGGTCGAGTGTAGTTTCATTCGGATTGTAAGCATAAAAGTGATTGTCAAGGTTATGGACCGGACAGATTTCTCAGTTTGTTTTTACTCGGGTGCTCTGCAAGAAGTCTGAGATTACAATTCGGGGTCGGTTCAGTCACAAAGTGCAGGCGAGAGTAGCTTATAGAACGGGCGTGTTTTTTGCGCTTGTCTCCGTTCGTCTGGAAAACGTAAAAAGTACGCCGCTTCTGCTGGTTAAGGCGCGAGCGTTTTTTTTCATGTGTGGCTTCTAGACCTTTCTGATAAGTATGTGAAAATACTCTTTGAAAGGGATAGTATTTTTAAGCATGTTTTGTAGCGGTTACAACGTTTGCACATGTAAAGGCGTTAAACCATTGTGTTCTCAAAGCTATAGTTATGTCTGTTGTCTCACAGGGACCAACAGAGCCACGCTGGTGGAGAGACATGTCTTGGATCCCGTTGGCCTGGCAGTTTATGGGAATCATGTTTACTGGATCGACCAGGAGTCGCGCTGGCTCAAGAAAATTGAAAAGATCGGTGAAATGGAAGAAGACCTTGGCAGCACGGTGCAAGCCTCTATCAATGGTTTGACAGATATGATTGTGGTTGATATGAGGAAGTCAACAGGTACGGAGTGGTTACCAAACTTCCTTTTTACCATTTCTTTTCTTTAATGTGTATAAGTAAGGAGAGTTTTTTTCCCCCCAATCAATCAAAGTGGATTCATACTTTGTAAAAATTATGATATTGTAGTCGTGCTGGGATTCCACTTTTCCGTATGAGTCTCCACCGAGGTTTTCGGCGCCGTCATAGACTAGCTAACCTTTCGCCTTGATTTATGGGTGAGCTCTAAATCCCGCCGGCTAAGCAGAATCCCTAGGGTTGGCTCGCTTCGGCGAACGTCGATTCCTTAGCTAGATCAAACGCACTTAACTAATCCTTGAGTATCACCAGTAGAGCCTTTTTGTATTGAGCATCGTAGAACCAAAATTAAAGTTATCATAACAGCCAATCATAAGAGCCAGTGAGAACTTTATGCAAAACTGACCAAACTGCTTAGAGCGCAATTCGTGATTGGTTTTAGTTTTGCATCTGATTGGTGGAGAGCATGGTGCGAGTTCTTTGGACCAATCACAGACCGAGGTAAAGCAAAAACAAAACAAACACGGATTACTTCCGACCTTAATGGAAAATTTCACTATTAATTGAGTGGAAGCGCGCGTTAATTTTTTTTTAAATTTCGTCTTTTTAGCTCACCATCCTTGTACTAGAAACCATTGTTCACACATCTGTTTGGTCGGTGATCACAACAAAGCTCAGTGTTCCTGCCCTATGGACATGATCCTAACTGAGGACAATTCAACTTGCGGACGTAAGTGTGATTCAAACATATCGTTAAACCCTTGATCCTTAAGAGTGACCAGCATCTAATTTCTCCTCACAATAATACCCGTAAATCACGCATTAAGGTCACGAGATTTAAAGAAATGATCACCCACTAAAGAAACTCTTGACTGTTAAACAATTTCTCCCAGTCGGAACCTTAGGAAATGTACAGAAAACAGTGCGGAGAATATGTAAATTGATATTGAGGGGTTGAGGTATAATAGATGTTGGAGAATAGCGAAAGTATGAAAGAATGACCATTTTACTTAGGATCAACGCCACTTTTTGTGTAAAGAGCGCCTTGTAATCGTAATTTAAATGTTTCATCGAAAAGACAAATTCTCAGAGACCAGAGTAAGGGGAACTTCCGCCCGAATTTGTACAGTGCATCTCAGTTTACCCACAAAGCCTTTCTGTATATATTACACAGATTTTCTGAGTTTTATAGTGATTATGTATTAACTTTGTTCGTTTGTTTTTCACCAGCTCCAAGGGAATGCCCGCCAAACGCGTTTTCCTGTCCAAGCGGACCTTGCTTATTAGAAAGTTGGGTTTGTGATGGTAATCCAGACTGTGAGCCTGATGGTGCCGATGAAAAGAATTGTTGTAAGTTGTGTTTGTAATTTTACTATGTTGAGAGTTTATAGGTTTTAAACCAGTGAAGGCTCTTAGAGCCTTTGCATAAACTCATGGATTTATTGTAACCAATCAGCTCCCAGGTTTGGCTAGTGTGTTACTTTACCTCGCGATTTCAATACAAAATCCTGTAGATAGGTGATGAGAATAGACAAACTCATGAGCTACAGAGTGTTACCTTCATGGAACACTGAATGAGTATTTCTAATTAACAAGAAAATGTATGACTGTCAGATGGGAGAATTACTAGCTGCAACTTGGGAGCTGAAGGTTAAACGTTTTGCCGTAGTAGAAGTAGTTGTTTCATTTGTCTGAGTTGATTTTGTTTTGCTTTATTGTTTTGCACCTTCATTCTCAAAAAATCTTAGATCTTTCAAAAGCAACTTCACAATCTCTTTGTCTGATCCGTAGCTCCTTGCGGCGATGACCAATTCGCCTGCCGCACTGGAGGTCAGTGTATCGATATGAAGAAGGTGAATGACGGTGTGGGGGATTGCCTTGACGACTCGGACGAGTCTGATTGCTGTAAGTGAACACGATTTGTCGCCTCCATTATTGTTTTTCATAACCGTCCTTTGGTTGTCGCATAGCGGTCTTCCGAAAGCGTTCATCACGGTTTGCACCGATGCAGACAAACCACAGAGGAGGAATAGAAACTTAGGAACTTGTGCAAAACTGACTAAATTGTAGAAGTAGGTCATGCAAAGCGTCAGGTAGTGCTCACTTCTTATTTGTTGCGAAAAGGCGCTTTTCGATTGAAAGTCGTAAACAGTTTTAATTTAGCATACGCCGTGGATTGCAGAGGAGGAAATGTACCGTTTATAGGATGAGATTACGTCTTTTTTGAGCCGCGGATTATTTTCCACCTATAAACGGCCCTAAAGCCTATTATAGATCAGGGAGCACCGAAAATAAACCACATCTCCTTCGTCTGCAACGTTTAAGTTTTGCCGGCTTTTATTAACAAGTCACATGTAGTGACTTTGAATTGGGTGATTCTGAGCTTGAACCTTTTCTTTTATTTCCTTTTTAGCACGGAAATGCTCAAAGCTTGAGTTTGGATGCCATGATGACGACTGTTCGTGTATCGCTTCGGACTGGGAATGCGATGGAACAGTAGACTGTCCTAATAATAGAGATGAAATGGATTGCGATGTTACTCCAGGTAAATATTGCGATTTATACTTATTATATGGTGTAGTGGTAAAGCTCACGAAAAACTTCTTTCCTAGTCTGAATCTTTGAGACACGTCCTTTTTACTGTTTTCAAGCGACGATCTAAGCTGAGTCGGACAAGCGTGCTAACCATTTATTTGACTGCGCGTTCTGCTTTTATTGTGTTTTTAGCGCTTCGTATTCATAGATGATGATGGATCATTTTTTTTTTCTGCTTTTAATCTAGTGAATGGCACAGACAAGGTACCTAATCCTCTGCACCATTCAAATCTCAGTGGTAAAATGGTGGCAGTCATTGTGGCGTCAATCATCGTGGGTGTCATTTTCCTCACTGTCGCTGTACTCATCTGTCGCAGGCTTAAGCACGGCCCAGACTGTGACGTAAGTCACGATATTGGATTAGTCGTGACTCCAGTTCTCCATCCTAGGCCTTCCTCGTCAGCATCGTCATCATCGTCGACGTCATCTCGGCATGACATGTTTGTGACAGCACCTTTACGAAAAGGTCCCGGATCAGCGGGCTCATCGCATAAGCGCTCGAAATCAAACGGAACGGCGCCGAGCTTAAGCAACCGTTCAAGCGCCTCACAGACAGCCTACGACCGGAACAATTTAACTGGAGCTTCGTGCTCGTCAACCGCGTCAACAGTTGTCACAGCATACTTCCATGAGCCCCTGAACCCGCCGCCGTCGCCGGTTACGGAACGTTCTCAGTACACCTCGCGATCACGTCCATATTGTGAGTCCCTGTTACCGCCGTCTTCATGCACGTCACACAGATGTCATCGGCCGAGAATGCCTCCACCCCCGACGCCTGTCTCCACTGACGCGGAGTCGGTTGGGAGTCGGCATCAATGTCGCAGAGTTCACCGTTGTAGGCACAAACGTTACGCGGCGTCGTCCTGCACGGAGGCAGCGTATGATTCGGATTTATTCGCACCGCCTCCGACGCCAAACACGAACTATCTTTCAGAAGCGACACATTTTTCGGATCAGGAGGGTCCACCTCCTTCTCCTGCTTTAACTGAAAGACACTTTTTTGCGCATCCGTATCCTCCTCCACCCTCTCCAGTGACTGATGCGCCGTCAGTGATTTTGTAACGCAGTTGTTGAGGAAAGGGTTCTGTCGCGTGTTCCCCTGTCACGCAATCGTCAGGGTTTCAAATGTGGTACTGGACAGATATCACTTCTTAGATCAAGAAACCGGACGCTATTCTATCGTCTTGGGTGACCGTGGTCGTTACTATAGACACGATTACCATGCGCGATTTTAACGCAATGAAGAAAAACTCACATTTTCGTCAAGATTATCCACATGACCCTAATGACATCTTAATTTCCGTGAAAAGGAAATAAAATGACTTTTTCTGGTGGTTCAGAAGAAATGTGAAAGCAGGTATATACTGGCGACCCATTGTACACTGCAATGCACAAGGCGATTTCGGGAAAATGGCAGTTCATTTTCGAATATCTCGAGGTTTAAAGTCTGCGAATGTTTTGTACTCCTTTGAATTTTTGCTTTTGTCTTTGCTAAGTTCCCATATTTCGTTTCCATATTTTGTGCCAACTTGAAGTTCAGAATTAGTAGAAAATTTTCCTCGGAGGGTCGTCTTTCCGAGTAAGTCGGCGATTCACGAATAGTTCCTTGTGAATTGATGGTCATTGGTGAATCATTCATCTTAATTGAAAAATTATAGATGGCGGATCAGTAAGCATTATTGGCGAACATCAACAAGTTATTTCTAGAACACTAGAGACCATTATTTTCATTGGCAAGTCACCAATGGCCTTTGGTGGACAACTAATGGCCAATGGTGGACCACCAATGGCCAATGGTTGACCATCACTTGTCATTGAGTCATTTATCGTTTTTAAGAGTGGGTACACACTACTAAGACATTTTTCTTCGTATGACAGGATTGATTTTTTTGAAAATCTTTACCCATGCGACAAAATTCTGCTCCCGGAACAAGTCGTTTAAATTCATACTGGTATGAACTTGTAAGGTGATGACATGGGTTGCAGCGACTTGGTTCGGAAGCAGTGCCCATAATGTGGTTTGTCGCGTAGACCCTGCCGCGCCGATTTGGCGCCTGTTAGGTCCTGGAAATTAAGAGTACCATCGATGAATTATCAGTTGCAATTGGCAACTCTCCTATCATTAATAAGGTCATTTGCGCCATTCTGCGCTATCAAGTAGAAACATTAACACGGCTTTTAACAGTTTCAAACGGTGTCAAAATTATTTATTGTAAATACTGTACATAATTTGTAAATGGTGCTTTACATTTAACCTAGAGTATCTATTGTCAGGCAGTTTTGCTGGTGACTTTTAAATTTTCCTAGATTAATATATTTTTAATAAAGATGTTTGTATACATGGCTGTGTATGGCTGTGTACTTTCCCTTCGCATGTTCCTCCGCAGGGTCGAGAGAGGGGGGGAATCGCCGCTTATTTCTTAGTTGCGTGCAGCCCTGTTGCACTAATGTTTTAGCACAACAGTGGCGTTTTAAAACAATCGAAACCCTCAGGTCAAATATAAGATACGGTGTGTAAATTTTAAGAGAAAGTTTTCCCTTCATAAAAGCGAGAAGGATTTTTCGCCTGCTTTGGGTAATGGATGAAATGTTTTCCGTTAAAAATACACTGGATAATTTGAAGACAAAGCAATCAACGGCAGCAGAAACATTTGACTTCCCTTCTGGGCATGCGCGTTGGATAAAGTGACGTCAACTTTACAGAAAGTCCTATTCTGGGTCCTGTCGAGTGTGGACGTAAAGTCCAAACATGGAAATGAAACTGCATGTTTAAAATCAAACTGGGTTAACTTGGATCAAGGACTTCGAATCAGTAAGACTTGAGGTATACATTCCTAGGCTTGCGCTGAAATTCAGTGACGGCCTCTTTGTATTTTACTTGGACTATGTCAATCGACCCAAACGTTTTCAGGTCTGCACGTGGGAAAAGAGCTGGTCAGCAGTAATTCTAGGTCTTAATGTAGGTACGTCATGTATGGGCAATTATTATGTCCTCGGTCTTAACTCTTCACCCTCACATCATTATGCCTATTCTCCATCCTGTTCTCCATGCATTCACTTTAGTGCTGATTTGGAGAATTTGTTTAACAATCGATAGCTTCTTTAGTTGGTGATCATTCCTTTATTCTCGTGACCTTAATGTGTGATCCAGTTTGATTTCATAAACACTGACATCGTTCCAAAATATGTATCCATCTTCGTAGCCTAAAATTCACAGCAATAGCATCCAAAAGACCAATAACTACAATAGTTTCATTTTGTCTCTTTTGATTCGGTCATATTATTCTGATGTCTTTCCGGTTTACATATAATATCTTCGGAGAAGTGACTGTGAAAAGTAAAGAATACTTCAAATAACTGCTGAGTAGGTCAGTCATGAAAGAGGATACCTTTTTAATTCCTCGTATGGCTCTGCTCATGGAGTTCCAAAACTGTTCCTTCCTAAAGAACGGAGCGATCAAGAGCCTTTCATCCCTGGACTAAGATGAAAGGACACGCTTAGTTAACGACTAAAAAAGTACTCAGCTGATTTGCACTTCGAATTCGCTCAGTGTTTTCCGCAGTCACGAAATATTTTATGTGTAATACCCGATTGACGTCACTTCGTCAGTACTTCTGCAGTTTTTTTCACCAAGCATGTAAGATATATCGCTAGTAACTCACCAGAAAGAGGAATACAGAGTGATAGAATAGCGATCAGTAAGCGAAGCAATAACTTCATCGTTCTTCCCTAGCAGATGTGCGAGACTGACCAGTGCCGTAGCAGGGTTAAAATTATTGGGGGGGCCTAACCTTCATTTTTACTGTTCTACTCTTGTGTTCAATATATATTTTTTGGAGTTTGCCAAATTATTGGGGGGGCCCGGGCCCCCCCGGCCCCTCCCCACGCTACGGCATTGCTGACAGACAAACAGTCCTGTCAGGATTTGGGAAAAGACACTCTCAAGGAATTCCCTTTAAGAGTGACGTTTGTGCCAGCATCTTTGCAAATAGTTAACGGATGGCAGAATTTTACAGCACGTGCCGACACTTCGGTTCATTTTGCGTAAGAATCGCCGCCTTTCAGCAAAGTAAACATTTGGGTCAGCCCTCATATCAACAAGCCTCTCTCTTTACCTGAGGGATATTACTCCAAGAAGATTGTAAAAGTTTCTTTTTCATCCGTTAACGATAACGAAAGTGAATTATGGAGAGTTATACATTGTTTTACGATTATAAGAATAAATGTGCCGTAGTGAATACAATTTGTATTCATAAGCGTGATGGAATTAGCGATCGGGAAGAAGTGTGCATACGATTGTTATGCGGTTAACAAGATTTTGTGCTAAATTTATTTTGAGGATCTAAACAGCTTTGAGACAAATCATAAACCATGTGCGTTGGCCAAGCCAAACCTTTCTTCTCAGATCTCAGATGTAACCTGCGATCAGACCCTTATCATTTGCGCTGTAGGAGGCCTGTTTCTCCGCCTGCGAGACGAGTCGGGAAGAGATTTGCTGGGGGTCTGGAACTAATAATGAGGATAAGACTCTTAGCTAGGAATGTAAGACCCTCAAAACAGGCTCCCTCCTGAAATTTGTTAGGAATCAACGAGCCGATTTTACGATGGGCCAGAGGTGGTAACCTTACGCTTTTAGAAGCTAGGAGGCGCGTGGACGGAGAAGGAGTGGGGCGAGAGAAAAGATTCAGAAGGAGCAAGGAATCTAACTATTAACCGGCTCAGGAGTAGTATAACACTAGTTTGGATGGAATATCAGAAAATCCACAGAATCAAATATATGGGTATTTTTTTTAAAAGAGGGTTGCATCATCGCCACTCACGGGAAGTTAAAAAACTGTTTGGCATATCCATTCTGCCAGCAGCATTCAAGCATATAACATTTGCTTAAAACTAAAGTTTAAACTATCTCTTTCTTTTTTTGTTTCTGACTGCTTTCTGGCGCATCGTGTGAATTGCGCCATATAAAATATACCGTCACTTACAATTTAGTTAAGCAATTTTACTTATTGACAATTTCTCTTCTTTACTCATCAGAACGTCATTGTTCAAAAGAGTTGTTTTAGGGAATAAGTACCTAAACTTATCCATTGACTATCCCAAAAGAAAATTCTTAACCCTTTCATTCCCAAGATCTCAACTGAAATTCTCCTTACTGTCTGCCATATAATTCTCATAATGTTAGTTCGGAGAATTTGGTATAGGTTAAACTAATAATCCACTAACTCATATTTTTCTTTATTCTCATCACTTGTCTGCTCGATGTTGCACTGATATTGTAAGGAGAAATTCTGTCATGGTCCCTTATGGAAGTTTAAGGAATAAGTGAAAATTGTCATCGGAAAAAAAATATAATAACTGCGATAAGGTGTTTAAAAGTTGTGAAAGCCTCTTAACACGACCAAGTATCACTCAGATATCAATGCTTTGGTATTACATATGCATATCCGCTAAATTACGTACCTCTAATATTTCACTTTTATTTGAATGTGTAACCTAGTTTTTATAGGTGAGACTATACGAATTAGTTCTACATTTATCTGGCAGTATATATTTTAAATGGTTCTTTCGTCTTCTTATCTTTTATCGTTTGTTCTCCAACATCATTGTCAAGCAGTCAATTAACTCCTGCAATTTTAAAAATTTGCGTAAGATGAAATGTCACTTAATTTCCCATAGTATAAATAAAAAAAATAGCGGGTTAATGTTCGCGGAAACGACGTTACTACGGAAGAACCGCCATGAGAAACCGGTTCGAAGAAATCCCACTTCGCTACCGCGCCTAGTTTGGTAACCTCTACTACAATACTCGGTACCACTCTCCCTCATTTAAGCCATAAGGTGAGGGTTAAAATGGGATCCGGAATGGCCCAAAAAATTTTTATGCCCAAGAACATAAGGCGAAATGCATAAAGAAACGATTGAAATAAACTTTTGTTACGAACTCTCGCTATTACGGAATTGCGGACACTTTCATGCCCCTAGCGCGACATTTCACTTGTTTTTTCTCTTGCTATGGCTGACACTTAAAATACATCGTCCAAAATCCTGACTCACATCATATAGAGTGACATTACGATAAAGGAAAATGAAGAGACCATTATTCAATTGGTTGTGAACATGAGAATTTCTTGCTTGCCTTTTCAGGTTCGTGAGGCCACGTCAGAAACTTTGTTTGCGTAGTTACATATCATAAAAAAACCTAATATATATTTCATCTCGCAACCTGCTATAGCGGACTCGCGCTGTTACCGACACTAAGTCTCCCCACGAGGGTGTCCGCAATAACGGGAGTCGACTGTATTATCACTTTGGAATTCATAACGAAAATATGAAATGAAAAATTAAGACAACTAGAGAGTCTAAACAATAATGAAGATATAAAGTACTTACAAATACAATTCTTTTTGTCAACAAGTAGTTTCATTCCCGTTGGACATTCACATTTAACTCCTGATGGTCCGAACAAACATAAATCACTACAGCCCCCATTATTTCTCTGGCAAGGATTAACACCTAATAAAAAGTTGAGAACATTCTTTAATCAAGAGTTCCTAAATGCATAAGAGCGATTTCCTGTAGGGTTCCATTACCAGCGTCATGCTGGGCATAGAACCATGCAAGGTGTTTTTATAGTCATGTGGACTCATTTCCACCGATGTTGTTTGGGTGCGGCACACCTGGTTTCCGTGGGCTTCGAGCCTAAATTTAGTGCGGGGGTATCCCACCGGGCATCGTATTCCTAAGAATTTGCTGTTCAGTGAATCTGAGGGTACGGACGAAGTCCAAGCGATCTTGTGCATTACCGCACCCCAAAAAACGCAGGTCAATGAAAGACAGCCCTGAAGAGGAAATTAAAAAAAAAGGGGGGGGGGGGGGGGAGATCGTTCAAAGAGATTGGTGAAGTAGGGAGAGATATAACTTCCTTCGCCAGGTGAAAGTTAGATATTGAGCGTGAACGTAGACGTCTGTCTTAACTTCAATCTAATTCAATGGTTCACATTTGGATAGAAGGAACAAACAACAACAACAGTAACAACAAAGAACACCTTTACCATAACGGAAGTGAAGGTCGACTGCCTTGAGTCCCATTAGACTGGTTACACCTTTTCTGATAACTCTTCTGCCTCTGCCGTTTCGTTTATTCACACTTTCAATTGATCTTTTTTGCCAATCTGTCCAGTAAAGACGATTATGGAGAATTGTCAGACCAAAAACGTGTGGTACATCTGTATCCACGATAACTTTACGGTTTTTCCCATTTAAGTTCATGACCTCTATCTTGTCTAACTTAGCGTCTGCCCAGTAGATTTTACCCCGACGG